GAAAATCAGTAACTACCGGCACCGAGGTTTGATCCTGATATTCTGGATCTCTGAATATATGTTTTCCGCCAGGCGTATAAATAGCGGTGTCAAAAATGTATTGCTGGTAATATTGTTTTCAAAAAAGCATTGCTCGTAATATTTTTTTCAAAAAGGTATTGCTGGTATTAATGTATTGCTGGTAATATTTTTTTTCAAAAATGTATTGCTAGCAATAATGCATTGCTGGTAATATATTTTTCAAAAAAGTATTGCTGGTAATTATGTATTGCTGGTAATATTTTTTCCAAAAATATATTACTGGTAATATTTTTTCCAAAAATGTATTGCTGGTAATATTTTTTCCAAAAATGTATTGATGGTAATATTTTTTCAAAAAGTATTGATGGTAATATTGTATTGCTGGAAATATTTTTTCTCCTTCAAGAATTCATTGTTACAAATATTTTTTTATGAAAAAACTTTTTCTGGTATTAATATCTATTTTTACATTTTCATATTGTTTTGAGATCCTTTTGGGGTTAACTATTTGCCCATAGTTGGGACCCTAACAAGTGCTACCACCCCGGATCAGGGTGGACCTGGGAACACCAGCAATTAAGAGGTGGTTCCACGCTCCTCAAAACATCCTGATCAGAGGCCTTGCTGCTGGATGTACTCTATCGTCTTACCCAGGACACCTCATTTGCGGCGGGAGAGGGGGAGTCCTACTCCTCTGCAGAGGTGCAGTCGGCGTATTCTCAAGCCTCAACCGACAGGGCGGCAAAAAACTGAGTACCTACCATGTATTCATTTATGAAAACAGAATAACATATCGTATTTTTATTACTTCTAAGCTTCAAAGAAAATTCAATTTCGGCATTAAATGACCCATAGAGAATTGATATGCCGTTAAAGAGATAACTCAACAAATCAATCATCTGTGTGGAATCTGTCCAATATTTATTCACAGACATACAATAGAAAAGATATGACATTAAGTTCCTTTCTTTCTTTTTTTCTATGTCTTAATAATTTATTTAGTTTCTGGGAAATATATTTAGCTCCATCAATACGCCTTTGTGTTTCTTCGTTATTTCTTACAGCACTAACCCCAGTAGATTCTTTCTTTCCATTCTTAGGGAATGTGCGTGGTGCACGCTTGGGTGATCATGTCTCTTTTTCGATACATGACTGACTTGATATAAGAATTCCCGCAGTAGGCTGCCGCTACTTTCTGTGGTAGACTAGTTGAAAACCAAGGCTATAGTAACTGATCTGTTCTGCTATTTAACACTGTCTTGACAGTAATAAAATCACTGAATAACTAGCCACTTTCGTCACTGTGTGAACTGACGTCACTAAGCGATCTTCACAAAACCCATGTGAATTATCTCCACCAAAGGGGGATAATTGCCTTCAGTATCCGTACATGAACTATAGTTTGAAATAATACAATATTAATTACTCAGTATCTGTCTATATTTCTGAGATGAGGTATTATGTACACTATTTACACTATTCGGACAATTGTCCTCATCTTTGGCGCTATATTTATTACAACGTTTCGGCCTTTCAGTATCTGTCTATATTTCTGAGATGAGGTATTGTGTACACTATTTACATTATTCGGACTATTGTCCTCATCTTTTCGCCATATTTATTACAACGTTTCGGCCGTGGTACGTTTCGGCCTTCTTCAGATGGTTGGAATGTTGAACAGAACTCTTTATTTCGCTCACCGTGGTAGACTGTTCTGGTTCCACTTGCCATGTTTAATGGATGTCAGTTATCATCAGTTATCTCCTGTTAATTCCCCTCTGCAAGTTCTCCACTGCCTTGACCTGTTTTTGAACTCACACACTTTGGGTCCTGTCACTGGATCTAACTAACGCCTTTATCCACTGTGCCATGTGTCCTCAAATAATGAATATTTGCCCTATTTAATTTTGTTCTAAGAGGCGAATTATTATTTTTAACCATAAGTACGTAAATTTATTTATATTTAAATATAATTTATATATATATATTTATACACACACACACACACACATATATATATATATATATATATATATATATATATATATATATATATATATATATATATATATATGAGTTTGAAACCCATTCGCTGCATGTGTGCATCGTCTGCTACCCTTCTTTTATCACAGGCTGCAGACGTAAGAGATTTTCTTTTTCGCTCTTTTGTTTTACAAGTTTTCCTTGTTATTTGCGTTCATCGGTCAACTGGAAGAGAAAGAGAGCAACCGCCATAGTGAGTCTTTTCTTCACACATCTGCATATAATTTTGTATCAAAGTCGAAACTGTTAACTCTGATTAGCGTTGAAACCTGAGAACAATAACCCGGATGTTAGTTTTATTCATTTATTTATTAAACATTTAATATTTTGATATTTCGTACGCGTTGTTGTTGCTGCTCTTTTATGTTGTTGCATTTCACCGCTTTATTTTTCAAAACGGGTAGGTTTGGGTTGAACAGAACGGGTAAATTTGGAAAGAGCAACGTGGTACGCGACAGCAGCAAAAAGAAACCATAAATATATGTATATATACATATATCTATGGTTTCTCACTCCCCAATGAGCCAAATGGTAACACACACCCATAGTAATATACACACTTACACTCATCATACTTACACACTCCCTAAGAATCAAATAACACACACACTTAACAGAGACACATCCCCTTTCCAGGAATCAATATAACTGTCAAAATGACCAAGGGAATTCAGAGCAGCATGGATCCATCCAGCTCTTATCTTTTAAGTTGTTATTTGAGACTGTTTGACCAACACAAGGACTGACCAAAATTCATGTTAAAAAAAATAACAACAAAGGAAAACTACAGACAAAAATTCATTTTCTCCATTAAGACATTCATTTCTGTAGTTCACTGCTACCAGCAAACAGAATTTTTTTTCTCCTGATGATGGCCATGTTGGCCGAAACTAGTCGAGGAATCTAAATGAAATAATAATAAAAACGAAAGAATATTAATATACACCCCACTGTGTCCAAAGATTTTAATTTTTTAATATTTTTATTGTTCAATATATATATATAGATACAAAGGCGAATCCAAACCAGAACTCGTGAAATTTCACGAGTTTTGTTTTAGATCCGCTTTTGCGTCTGTGTTAAGCAAAGTTTGTAAATTTGAGTCTTTTTAATTTCTAACAAAATCAATGAGTTATTGCTTAGCATTTGAATTTTAAATCTAGATCTTGTTTGTTCACTACAAGTTCTCCTTAAAATCAACGTCGTTAAGTAGTGTCGAAACCGGTCTGTACTTAGGTGGAGGACCCCTTGGTACCAGTGTGATGTAAATATTTCAATTTTAGATACAGGGGAGGTAAGCTATAGGAGCCGAGCGTTATTTCTTTTATTTTAATACATTTTTTTTATCCCTTAATACCTTAGACAGCTTCTGAAAAGTACCTTTCTCTATTGCTGAAATTCGAATTTCTGTCTCACTTTTTCAACATTCTTTGAACGTACAGGGTGCCCAAAATCAGCCAGGTATTTAAAAATGTCATAACATGGCTGATGTTTCGTGACATCTTTTCAGATCATTGATAAATATAAGGTATTTACCCATGGAAAAAAAAACTTGTAGCAAACTGGAAGGGGCGCTAAAGAATATCGTCTGTGCGTACAAATAAGTATGAGATTCAAGAGGTCAGCTAACATTTTGAAAGTAAAGACGCGAAATCTGACAAGAGGACAACAAACAACAACTTAAAATTAATACAAAGTTTATTTACGTATGTACAAAAATAAATATTTGGATTAAAAGGAACATGAATGACTAATGAATCAAGTAATGGAGGTAGAATTAATTAAATGAAGGGATACTGACCGCCTAGAAATATAGACTAAATGTTAAAAATAGAGTCCATTGCATGTAGCTGTCTCTTCTACTCTAATAGCTTCATGTCTCGCACCTCTCGCCTGTAGAACTCCCTTCCCTATTTCAGTTTCCCTGTGAGCTATAATCTCCAGCTATTCAAGTGTAATGCCAATCGACATCTCCAGTTGCCTTAATCTATCCACTACCCTCATCCTTTCTTCTATCACTCCTATCTGATCTTGCTATAAATTTTCTGTAACCCCTTGCGTCCTAGTGGCTTCCCGCCTTGCTTGGGGTGAAATGCTTAAATATATATATATATATATATATATATATATATATATATATATATATATATATATCTGTTTCTGGATTTTGTCGAGAACCTTGAGATGAACAGCGGGACAACCAGAACATTTATGGCAACAGTATTCAATGCATGGACAAATGGTAGATTCGTAGATTTGAATGATGGACTCAAATGAGAAAAAAACACTTTTCTTGTGGTAAATGCAGCTATTTTTGAATGTCGTTGTTCCACCTCAGGTCAGTGGAAAACGTGAGACCAATAAGGCACAGAGAGACACTCCCGTGGAGTTTAGCATCAACCATGCTGATAGGAGTCAAGGAGTTTTTTCTATGGTGAGTAAATAACAACAATTTCTATTTGGGGTGAATTAAAATTCACAAGCCATTTCCTACCTCAGTTAACCACAGATTGGAGGTGGTATTCAAGACCAAAAGAAAAAAGACAGCTATACTGTTGTGACCAATAGACAATTTGACAGAGGACCTAACAAAAATCCCGAACAAGGAAAGAATGAAATAGCAAAAGGCAAGCACTTACCTACTCACTAGATTAAACTGCTCAACGCCCAGATTACCTACGCAAAGCAAAAAACGTTTCACAACGTCAACTCCTAACAAAGAACAGCCTGAGTCGAGTTTCACGCTCTTGCGATCTTCAGACTAGAACCCAACTGAAAGCAGAGAAGTCTAGCTTCAAATAACTTGACCGTAACAGAACTACCTTAATGCATCACAGAAAAAAACCTGTTGATAATGGTGGGGGGGATAAGCATTAGAAAAACCCAATGGCTGGGCCTAACTAGAAATTGTGTCTGAACTATCTATATATCTATCTATGTCATTTTGTTCATATCTATCTATCTATCTATCTATCTATCTATCTCAGTCTGTCCATATCTATCTATCTATCTATCTATCTATCTATCTATCTATCTATCTATCTATCTATCTAATTCCATTCATTATCTATCTATCTATCTATCTATCTATCTATCTATCTATCTATCTATCTAATTCTATTCATTATCTATCTATCTATCTATCTATCTATCTATCTATGACAAAATATAGTTTTAATGTATGCTATATTTATGGGTTAAAGTTCTCAGTATCATGGAAAAGCTTATGTAAATATAAAAGTAGACATTAAAGTCAACATTCGGAGACGACAGTATGTTTCAGGCTAAACGCAATCGCCAGGTCTTGTACGTTGTTGGTGTAGCTGAACTATTTGTACATACATGTCAGTGATGCATTGTGGGTAGTCTTGTATTATTTTAATGGTTATTTGTGTTGGCGGTAACGGTTTCAAATTATTCTAGAAGATATTGGATGGAAATAATTGTCGATCTTCATCAGTTTTTTTAATATTTATATCGTTGTGAGTTTACTCTTAAAAAATTTATTTGTGGTTGTTATTAAGAAATTTTCTCGTGTTTATCAGTGTTTAGGTGGTTTGTTAATTTGTTTATTATTTACTTATTTATTTGTTTGAATTCATTTATTTAAATGTTTTTGCTTATTTTTTTTATTATATTTATTTTCGTTTATTCTTGTTCGTTTTCAGTTTTCGATTTTAAGTAACGTAGTAAAAATTTGTTTTCATGTCTGCATTTTGGGATGAGTTCTGATCGTTTATTTAGTAGTTTGTTTTGGCCTGAGAAGGTAATTATATCTATCTTTTCCTTTGGGCAGAGTTTAAAGATTTTAGATTGATTGATGTAGGCTGATGTTGTTTTCCTTATATCCCACGATATTTTTGGTATAATTTGTTTTTGTTTGTTTTAATATCCTAGATATGTTTAGAATGCATTGTGCTGTTTGAGTATTTACTATTTATAAAAGATGTTTTCTGTGCACAGTTTCTTAGTTTCCAGTATCCTTCAGAAACTGCTGTATATTTTTTCTTCGTTATCTGCTGATTTTAAAGTTGCTTGGTATATTACATTGTTCTATAAGCAATTGCCGTTTAAGGGACATTCGTTTTTTGTTCTGCAGTTACACGTGGGTTACATTTGTTCAGATGGTTTGTTGTTTTTCTTTTTTCATTTTTATTATTTGTGTTATGTTCTCAGTGCAACTGTAGCTGATTCTTACTGTGTTTGTTGAATATCTTGTAAAGAGTGCTTGATGCGGGGAACTTTTTGTGCATGAGTTTAATGAATATTTTTCCTACGTTTGGTTTTACGTTTTTGTTGTACGATGGGTTGCATTATATGATGTTCATTCTGCTGTTGACTTTTTTGTGTGGTGTGTATGCGAGTGTTACTAGGGATACACTATCTTTTAGCGCCGTTTCATAGTTTTTCTTGACTTTGTCATAGATGGTTTCAGTGGAAGAATTATCGGAAAGCCTGTGGGTAAGTGATTGTGATATCTGCTTTATTATTGATGGAGGCTGGTTAGAAGATGTGTGCATATACAGTGATTTATCATGGGGTTTTCTATATGGATTATACGTATCTTTTCTTAGGTTGAAGGTGACATCTAGAAAATCTACTTTGTTTAGTTTAGTCTATGTTGAATCCCATATTTTTGAAAATTTTTATGATTGTTTTCCTAGTGTTGTCTTTGTTTGTTAAAATTGTTTATGATTATGTGACCGTATGCCCAGGAGAGGCCTGTATTCTTTCTATCAATTATTTTGCTTAGTTAGTGTAACAAATATATGCCTATAAAACAATCATTAAAAAAATCAAATTCTGCATAGACATAAAAAGTAACCTAAGCTAATAAATATATTTTTACAGAAATTTTTTGGTATTTATTATTATTATTATTATTATTAGTAGTAGTAAAATGCACACATTTTATCTATCTATCTATCTATCTATCTATCTATCTATCTATCTATCTATCTATCTATCTATCTCAGTCTGTTTTCTATCTTCCAATCTTTCCCTCACTCATTAAGTCTCTCTCTCCCTCCCTGTCTCTCTCAATATATATATATATATATATATATATATATATATATATATGCCTGTCTCAGCTTATATTTCCTTCTCTCTCTCTCTCACTCCTCACTCGATAAATCTATCTATTTATCTATATTTTCTCTCTCCGCTCTCCCTCTTTCACGCACTCGCTCGTTCTATCTATCTATCTATCTATCTATCTATCTATCTATCTATCTATCTGATTTTCTATCTATCTATCTATCTATCTATCTATCTATCTATCTATCTATCTCAGTCTGTTTTCTATCTCCAAATCTTTCACTCGCTCACCAAATCTCTCTCGCTATATATATATATATGTATATATATATATATGCCTGTCTAAGCTTATCTCTGTCCTTCTCCCGCTCTCTCTCACTCACTCAGTCACTCAGTCATTCGATAAATCTATCAATTTATGTAACTTTATCTCTCTCACTCTATATCTCTCTCTTTCACGCACTCGCTCATTCACTCACTGAATCTATCTTTTTACTCTCTCACTCACTCACTCAATCGATAAATCTCTCTCCCTCCCTCTCTCTCTCTCTCTCTATCTATCTATCTATCATAGTCTGTTCATTCAACCTCCCCCTTCTGCTGCTATTGTTGTCTTTATATGATAATCCCTTACCAGATCCTTACTTGTGATACATGTCTTTTATTGACGCAAATTTTGCTATTTTGCTAAACATGTATATCTATTTTCTTTATATTGATAATACTCTCCCATTATCATTATTTGAATGTTCATTTCAGTTGCCTCGTGGTTATCCTTAAAGGTTAGGTAAAAGAAAACCTTCTCGGTTCTTCATAACTCTTCTTCTTCTTCTTCTTCTTCTTCTTCTTCTTCTTATTATTATTATTATTATTATTATTATTATTATTTCCTTTGATTTCTCTTCAATACCCATTTCTTCCTGGGTCCCAACCAGAGATCTAAGGTCAGAAATAAATTCATGACATTACCCACTGATAAAAAAACAACAACAACCTAATCTCTTCATAATCTGTGAACTGTATATATTAAAATCTGAAGGGTCTGTTATGTCAATAAGAAAGTATCTTCTATTTTTGTGGTCTTGGATGTCTGCGCTATTAGCCTTGATTGGTCGATCTGTATGTATTGTAAAGGCACATAATTATTTTTACTGGTTCTATCTCTGTAATCGGGTCTGGGTGATGTTCATAACATTTTTTTGTGTGTAAATGTTAGCCCACTCCATCATACCGAGTTTTATATTCAGTGGGTGCTAACACCTTGCAACCTGAGATAAGATAATCAATTTTTTCTTGATATTTATCACATAATCTGCATTTCGGGTTAACAAAATTTTTCAGTATGTGTGCTTGGTAATATCTAGTTAGCAAGCATTTGTCCTGTGCAACAAGAATAAAAACTTTGGCTTCAGCTTTTAAACCTGCACTATGTAACCACTGATAGTTAGGGGTTTGCCTACATCAGCTTGTTTGGTTCCGGGCAGAGATTGACCATGAAGAAGCTTATCTTGGCAACGTTTCTGCATTTGGTGCATTTGCTTTTGCTTGTGTTTTCTTTTGTAGGTACTTTGTCGCTATAGCAGGTGCATTATGATTTATTTGCACTTATTCATCGACTTAAATTTCTCCTTCGAACTTTTATTACAATTTATTACTCATTTATTACTTTATTACTGAATAGAGTTTATTATTTATTTTATGTTCTTTAACACAGATCACACATCCAGTCTTTTGTAGTTGCCAGGTATCTTTGAAAACCGATTTTTTGTGTTTTATAAGACAGTTCTAGTTAAATTAATATTCCTCGTTCGGATCTGGGCACATACAGACGATCAACATCAGCTTTAGGATGAAGCATGCAGCAATAGCTGAGAAACTTTCTGTTTTTGATATCCATTCGCTTAATGTTAGCTGTGATTCAATTAAGGCCATTGAAACTTTATTCCATCACAAGGACAGCCAAAGAGTTTATGTCTGTTTTTGTGATTTCAACTCGGAATTTAACACCAGACGCACACGTCTGTTGTATTCATTTTTTTTTTACTTTCTCCGTCATTTGTGTATGCTATATTCCATCTCCTGTTAGACATTTTCATGACGGTCGTCTTCGAGTATAGAATCCAGAGGTTGGCAGTGAATATTTCGGAGACAGTAGGAAAGCGTAATTTAGGTTCGCAGTGGATATCGCAGCAGAGCGTAGTTCTTCCTTCTGTCGTGTTAGCCTGACAACTTGGCTCTGGTCATTCCGATAGGGTAAACAAAGATGGCCGCCTTTATACACGACGGATCCAGTGTTCTGCGGCTTCTGATTGGTTAATCTTCTATTGGTAGACTATAAAGGGAAATAAGTCATTTTGACTCGCTCACTAGTCATATAGGATATATACCCAAAAAACCGTAACATCTCCTCCACTGACCCCTAGAAATTTATAGGCTTCTACTTGTTCCAGTTCCCTAATCTTTGTGACAAAATCTAGATCTATTCAGTGTGCTCCTGTAATTCTCCCTTTCTTGAATATTGCTTTTGTGGATTTATCTAATCCAACATCCATAGTGATGTCATCACTGAAACATTTTACAGTATTGAGAAGACCGTTCAACTCATTGTCGTCTTTGGCAAAGAGTTTGATATCGCCCATGTTGAATAGGTGAATAAACACTTTCTTTTTATTTTATGTCCATAGTTATTACTTTTTAGTTCATACAAAATAAAGATTAAGGACGTACCAAACAGAAATGGCGACCGGAAGTATCCTTGAAAGATTTCTCGTTGGATATTCAAAGGGTTGGAAGTCGCAGTAACTTTGATGTGATTTGTGTATAATGCGCTTTTTCACAGTTTCATGCTATATTTAAGGAAATTTACTATCAATTAGGAGACTTTGTACATTTCCAAAACCTCAAGGATCCAAGAGTGTGGCACGCTATCAACGGCTTTTCGGTAATCTATCCAAAATGTGCTGAGAAACTTTTTTCTACAATTTTCCAGGATCAACTTATTTATTAGTAGTTGATATTTGCAACCATATGAACGTCTTCGACATTCGTTTTGTTCCAGAGGGAAGAAGGTTGATATCATCGATGAAAGAGTAAGTACGGTTCGTCAGGACAGACGTGATCAATTTATATGTGATATGCAAACATGTTATTGGTCTATAATTTTTGGAATCATGTGTTACACCCGTTGTTGGTAGGAGATATATAATCAGCGATTCATTTTGGAATTTCCTTGCAGATATTAATTAGCATTGACGAAGCATTTTAAGGTTTGGTGACAGATATAGAACCGTATGTTAGGTACCTTGTAATTTCCTGTGGATTTCTATTTGGGGGATTTTCTTAGAGCTTGCCTAACATTAGACTTCGTTATATCTTCCCTTCTTGCACAGGTTTGCCCTTCATTCTTTCTTGTTCTCTTTTGATCTAGTCTGCATTGGAATTATATTCCTTTGGGAAACTCCAAATATTCTTCCATTCCTTTAGTAGATGGTTGCATTTTAACATCTATATGTGCCTTTCCAATTACTCTGGAAAACTGCTTGAGGTCTGTTTAGAATATCTTCTTTTATCGATAGAACCTACAACGCTTTTCATATCGTCGTCTTCTTTGTGTTTTTAATTGAAGTTGGTGATTAAGTCTTTCTTTGATTGGTGGAATTTTATTTACGCTTGATCTTCTTGCATTTCCGTGTTGATTATTATTATTATTATTATTATTATTATTATTTGCATGTTCATACGAAATGACTCGTGGTTATCCTTAGAGATTCGGTGAAAGCAAATCTCCTCCGTTTTTTCATAACTCTTCTACTTACTCTTCTTTTTTTCTTCTTCCACTTCTTCATCATCATCATCATCATCATCTTTTCTTCTTCCACTTCTTCATCATCATCTTCTTCTTCTTCCACCTCTTCATCTTGTCCTTCTTCTTCTTCCACTTCATCATCATCTAATTTTTCTTCTTTTTCTTCCTCTTCTTCATCTTTTTCTTCTTCTTCTTCCTCATCATCATAAGCATCTTCTTCTTCATCTACTTCTTCATCATCATCATCATCATCATCATCTTTTTCTACTACTACTACTACTTCATCATCATGTTATTATTCGTCTCCTTCTTCTTCATGATCTTCTTCTTCATCTTCTTCTTCTTCCACTTCTTCAACATCTTCTTCTTCTACTTCTTCATCATCATCATCTTATTATTCTTTTACTTATTCATCATCTTCTTCTCTTTGAACTTCTTCATCATCATCATCTTTTTCTACTTCTTCATCATCATCTTCTTCCACTTCTTCATCATCTTTTTCTTCTACTTCTTTAACATCTTCAACTTCATCATTATCATCATCTTCTTCTTCTTCAACTTCTTCATCATCATCATCTTCTACTTCTTCATCATCATCTTCTTCTTCCACTTCGTCATCATCTTCTTTTACTACGTCATCATCATCTTCTACTTCTTCATCATTTTCTTCTTCTTCCACTTTTTCATCATTTTTCCTTCTTCTACTTCGTCATCATCATCTTCTTCTTCTTCATCGTCTTCTTCTACTTCTTCACCATTTTCTTCTTCTTTTTCTTCGACTTCTTCATCATCGTCATCATCTTCTTCCACTTCTTCATCATTTTTTCCTTCTTCTACTTCTTCATCATCATCATCATCTTCTTCTTCTACTACTTCTTCATCATATTCTTTTTCTTCTTCTTCTACATCTTCATCATCATCATCATCATCTTATTATTATTATTATTTGCATATTAATACGCGATATGTTGTGGTTAATCCTAAATGTTAGCGGTTCCTCATAACTCTTCTTCTTCTTCCTTTTCTTCTTCTTCTTTTCCTTATTATTATTATTATTATTCGCATGCTAATACGAGATGACTAGCGGTTACCTCTAAAAGGTTAGGCGAATGCAAGTCCCCTCTGATATTCATAACTCTTATTCTTCCTCTTGTTGTTGTTGTTCTTCTTCTTCTTCTTCTTATTGTTGTTGTTGTAGCTGGTGTTGTACAATATTTATATTTTCTTTACGTTTATATTACTCAATGAATTTCTTGACATCTATAGTACAGTGCTTATATTTTCGTAATATTGATAATATTCACCTATTATTATTATTATTATTTATTTTTTATTTATTTATATTGGAAGGCGGAGTTATTATTATTATTATTATTGCTATTGCTATTATTATTATTATTATTATTATTTCCTTTGATACAGCTATCATTGTACAATTCTTCTAACTACATCTGTTCTGCACATGCTTTCAGTTTGTTACATCTTTTTCTTCTTCTTCTTCTTCATCTTATTCTTCTTCTTCTTCCCGTGCCATTTTTGTTTCTGTAGCAGCAGGACATAGCGTACCAGCAACAACATATGTTGACGGTTAGATGAACAAACATAATTATTCTAGGCCCCCCAACAAATAAAAAGAAAATCTCCTCAAAAGGTTTTATATACATGACTCTTGTTTTTGTTTTGCTTTCGCTTTTTGCATAAATTTAATGTCACGTACAGTTCTCATGGCCGGTGAAGTAATCTAGTGTCACGAAAGTCGAAATTGCAACCAGGTTGTTCACAAATGAATGTCCTTTGTAAACGCAAAATTTAAGAACAGAATTATAACAGGCAGACGTCGTGTTGATGTACACAGAAGATGCGAAAAAAAGCATCTACCTGCTTTATAAGATGTTTATATTTATTGTAACCTCCCTGCCTCCAGTCAGCATGGCTGATACTCAACTCCACGAGAGTGTCTCTCTGTGCCTTCTTGGATTTCAAGTTTTCCACTGACCAGAGGTGGAAGAACTACACGAAATCAATAGCTTCATCTACCGAAAGGAAAGTCGGTTCTCTGTGTCTGAGTCCATCTTTCAAATCTACAAGTCAACCATTCGTCTTTGCATTGAATACCGTTGCCATATATGGTCTGATGGTCCTGTTGTTCATCTTGAGGTCTTGGACAAAATTCAAAAACGGATATGCAATGTGATAGGTCCTGATCTGGCATCTCGTCTACAGTCACTTTATCACAGACGTTCTGTGGCTTCCCTCTGTCTTTTCTACAAATATTTTCATGGAAACTGCTTTGATGAGCTATTTTCAATGGTGCACCGACTGCATGAATTTAAGCGTGCTATTAGTTTGGTATCACGGTTTACCACACTTTTACTATCGAAACAGTTAAATGCAACCGCCTCTTATGCTCCAATAGCTTATTTTCTCGCACCTCCCGACAGTGGAACACCCTTCCTTTTGCTTGCATCCCTGGTGGCTATAATCTTCAAATATTCAAATGTAATGTCAATCGACATCTTCTGATGCCCTGATCTTGATCCTCGTCCTTCTCTTTATCCTTTCTTCAAACACCCCTCTTTACTCTTGCTCTCACTCTCTGTAACCCCTTGCGTGCTTGTAACTCCCTTTTGGGGTGAAATGCTTTAAAAAAAACAAAAAACAAAAAACAAAAAAAAACATTCGGACAATTGTCTTCATCTTTGTTATTTCAGCTGTTGTGCCTTCCGACCACCATTATGCGGAACCTTTCACTGTCCATGTCTAGGGATATCTTTTCTTCTTTTACTAGTCAATTATATCTCGTCCCCCTTCTACTGAGTTCAAGTACACACTGCTAGGATCATGGATTGAACTCATATATACTTTATAACGAAATGCATAAATCAGCGCCTTAATCAATTAGGTTATCGTTCCATGAGACATTTTTCTCAGCATTTCAAACAGAAAATTTAGTTCACCGAAATTAAGGGCGTGTGTTGGTTTGATTGATTCGTTTTTATGGCTTGTCAACCCTTTGCAGTTTTTTTTTAAAGCCAGAAAAACTATTTTGGTTGTAAGAATTTTTTTCCCGATAATAATGATTTAGCGATGAAAGTCTTATTAATTATCCCATATTTTGTGGCAGAAAAAGTACATTCATATCTTTCTCAAGGGTATTTGTGCGTAAATGAAACCCAGATGGAATTGAAACCCGGCTATCTGATTAACAATTCCGAGCCATTATTCATCACACCACCCGCACATCCAAGCTTTGAGCACCTGGTATTACCAAGCACTCACCCATCTAGGTACTGACCAGGCTTAACGTCAGTAATCGTACGGGGGCCTGTGTTTCAATGTGATTGAAGGAATTATGAAAAGTAAAGATTTTTATTTGTTTTTCTTTACAAGTTTTAATAAGATTTTATGATGCCACTCGCAAAATTGAACGAATGAAGAAACGGACTTGACTCTTTATCTTATTGTCCATATATCCGATGAAGCATTGGCTATAATTATTAAATGTTTATTAATATTTCTTTCATCTTATTTTTGGGAAAGTTCGAAAAACTGGCGTTCAACATTCAACAGATCCAAAACGAGGCTTGTAATGTTCGACCATTACTGAGCCTGAATGTTCTTCAAAACTGATGAACAGTTCAAAACCAGTGAGGTTTCCCGCGTTAGGAAAATCTACCAAAAAACTCCTTCTGAAATATAGATGACCAGAGACTTGGCAGCTGGTCTCTCTTCTGACCTACCAATAATAACCCAACAAACTGACATGTGACTTTCACTGCCTCAAAAAACAACCGTGTTTCATTATTGCCAGGCAGATCCTACATTTTCTCATTCAAGATGAAGTGTTATACTCTCAATAACGCCTCTTGTCTTGAACTTTGACACGTTCATACCAGATCTCAAATAAAACTATCTATCTATCTATCTATCTATCTATCTATCTATCTATCTATCTATCTATCTATCTCAATGTTTCTTCCTATCGATCTATCTATGTTAGTCTGTGTCTTCCTATCTATCTATCTATCTATCTATCTTTACTAGTCTATTTCTTTCCTTTCTTTTATCTATCTATCTATCTATCTATCTATCTATCTATCTCAGTCCATTTCCTTCTCTCTCTCTCTCTCTCTCTATATATATATATATATATATATATATATATATATATATATATATGACATCTCGCTAAAAAGATGGTCACTTCTGTTTACCTCTGCAGAAAGTATCTACCACTTATTGCCATGCCTTATCTTAACAAGAGTCAGATCAGACAAAAAAAAAAAAAAAAAATGATGTATTGTTCTCATGTTTGATCTGGAGCTGTACAATCCTACATTTTTGGGTTTTTAGGCAAGAGTTCAAAAGCGATTCCGCGACCTTGTGAGTGATGAATTATTTTCAGAGCTACAAGCCCCTTTAACCAAAGACAAAAAGTGGCATGCCTTTACTATTTTCATGGCAAATGTCCAATCAATCTTTAGTTCCACCAATTCAGCTAGGACACTCAATATCACGTACACAAGATCGATTCATCCTCTTTCTCTTGGTATTCCATTGTTAAGAAGAAAGTTCCATTCAGATAACTTCTTTCCGAGAACCGATACTTTGGGGCAAAGTCTCCCGACATTATACTTCACTGGAGCTTTTCCAGTTGAAAAGCAATCGTAATAGATCCTACATATCCCTGAAATATGCATATACTTCCTTCTTTTGACATTAAGTGAGCCTCTATCTTGAGTGGCTCTTTGGCCTTGTATTGTATGAACACAACACACACACACACACACACACACACACACACATATATATATATATATATATATATATATATATATATTTAAAAATATGATTTTTTTAATCTTTCCAAAAAAAATTTCGCTTGAAGATGGAACAGAGCTTACTTTAACTCAATTTAATTCAAATAATTATATTGAAGTTTTCGGCTCTTGTTTTGAAACATGAGACCTCTTATGTCGCGAGTTGGAATCATATTTTTAAATAAATAATTATATTTATGCTCTACTTTTGTATCGAGCACTATTTTTTAAAAATAATAACTAAAATACTAAGGAACTAGTTCCTTCCTATTTTCTATATATTTTCACCTATTATATATATATATATATATATATATATATATATATATATATATAAGAAATTTAGATAGAGTATATCTGTAAAAGCACAATATGAATAAAGGCAAAGGAAAACATATCTTAGCCGAAGCGATTTCTTCGCTGAGTGAATATATCAAGGCACATAGGAAGAAACAGATTTAGATAGATAGATAGATAGATGTAAACAGATTGAGATAGATAGATAGTAATAAACAGAGTGATAGATATATACACAGAGAGGAAGAAAAAAAACTGATCGACAGATATATAGATAAATAGGAAGACAGACTGAGATAGATAGATAGATAATGAATAGACTGTGACAGATAGATCGATATATAGGAAGAAAAAGACGAAGATAGATAGATAGATAGATAGGAAGAAACAGACATATGTGTGTGTGTGTGCGTATACTTAAAATTAGAGAGAGAAAGTATTTGACTCATATTTGTATTTGATCATAATATATGAAGGAGGAATAAACATGTACATATATATATATATATATATATATATATATATATATATATATATATATATATATATATATATATTACATAAATCATTCATCCAAAAACCAATTAGTGAAGTTAATGATATAAATGGCGAGAATACATCTTCGCAAACAAATTTATTAAAATTACATTAATCCACGAACCTCTAGATCAAGGTTATGATCCCTGTATTTAATAAATTCAACTTGTATAAGGTCTTTTTTTTTTGCTGGTACTTTCATCTGTTCATACAGACATCATCAGGCATGGAAATTGATTTGTTTTTTTTATAAATCCATCCAGGTAATAACGGGACACGAAAGATTAGATGTGAATCGAATATAGGTTTTCTTTTTTAGAAATGTGTTATTGTTAACGATAAGAAATTTTGGAGCGTTCGGTCGCAACGCTAAGGTTGAATTTTTTGAAAATTTAAAAGAAAGTGCGTTTTTTTTACTAATATGGTAATTGGAGAATTCTTTTGTTGTTGTAGTTTTTTTTGTAGTAGTTTTTTTATATAAATATGATAGTGGGCTGAAAAGTTCATAGGCTGACTATGGAGGAGTGATGCTAGAGCTGTGAAATCTCGCTTTTATTAATTTCAACTTTTCAACTGCATTTTTCTTTCCAGGTAAACTGACATCTGATTGCTCAAACTGACATCTGTTTTTTTTCATGTTGGGGAACAGATGATAGTAAAATCTGGAGAATACGAAAAGTGATCAACCGTTTCAAAAAGCAAACCTGATATCGAAAACAAGGACTTGTGTGTTGGAACATTGTTCTGATGATATGAAACAAGACTCCTTTCGACAGTTTTCCTGAGCGTTTGATCATGATAGCCTTTCTTAACTGTCTCAGGCAGTTGGCATAGTGCTCGCCGTTGATGGTGTGGCCCATTCTGTAGCATTGGGGAAAGAGAAAGCACATTACACTAATAGTATTCTTCGTACATTACTTACATTATTCGGACTATT